GCAACAGTGGCAAATTTCTCGTTTGTGGAGTCCCAATCAGAAGCTCAATATTCTAAATCCTAACCTAAAACATATTCTGAATGTTCCAAGTGTTGACAGTAAAAGTATTAGCAATAATGTTTACCTTAAGCTAAGATTTTTTTCTTAACTTTTCAACAACTACGGAGTGGACAAATGCCATATATACCATGTATTTGTGGTTTTAGGCGTTGGAACTCAGATGAGATGATGGTGAATTGGAACCAGAGAGGGGAGAAAGGCTGAAATGGATATATTGCAAAACAATGTACTGTTACAGAGGCACAAAATGGTGCTTTTGAAGCAGAAGACTGAACTCCACTTCTATCATACTGTTATAGTGAAATATTAAACTGCTAAAAAGAAAATAAGGAGTTTTATTGAAGGCCAAAATAACATTCCATGAAATGGGGAGTCACATAGACATGCAGGCAAGTGGGATGCTAAAGTGTTCCACCTTACAAGGAGCCAGGGAACTTTTTATCAGGTGAGGCAAATAAAGGATTATGTTCACAAGCGTGGGACATGTGTAACAAAGATTCTAAAAGGTTATCAAGTTATGGGAGCCCTGGTGATGCAGTGGTTAAGCCTCTGGCTACTAACCAAAAGGCTGGCAGTTCGAATCCACCAGCTGCACCTTGGAAACCCTATGGGAGAGTTCTACTCTGTCCTACAGGGTCGCTATGAGTCGGAATCAACTTGACAGTAGTGGGTTTGTTTTTTTTTGTTTTTTGGTATCCAGTTATAAACAAGCTACAAACTTTCTTAACATAAAGTTTTATTGTAACATTAATCTCTTATTTCCTGACACTACTTGACTAAGGCAATATTTCTAAAGTGAGCTTTATGAACATTTTTGATGTGGAAGTTCAGTGATGAATCGCATGCCTAACCTAAAAACCACACCCATTGCCGTTGAATCGATTCCAACTCATAGTGACCCTACACAAAACCAAAAAACCAAACCCATTGCTGTCGAGTCAATTCCGACTCCTAGCGACCTAAAGGACGGAGTAGAACTGCCCCATAGAGTTGCCAAGGAGTGGCTGGTGGATTCAAACTGCCGAGCTTTTGGTTAGAGCTCTTAACCGCTGTGCCATCAGGGCCCTATACACTCAAACTTAATTGAAGTTCTTGAAATGTAAAAACAACCATTTGGTTAGGAGAAAATTAACCTTAAATCTGAAGCCTTTTTTGTAATATAAACATTGCTTATCTGGCTAAGGGTGAGTTAGGGCTTAAGAGCGGTTATGATAGCAAGTCGCTTGAAATGTAAATATTTGTAACAGGTGCTGGGCAAATCTTTATTTAGAAGTTCCGGCTTTTGTTACTCAAGCAATAAACTGACAAAAGGCTAAATGATTTCTTCAGAAGAATAGTGAAGAAGTATAGTGAGGACTTATACGTGCAGATAGTTTCTTTAGATTTTACAGTAGAAATGAAAATCTTAGTTTAATTCAGAATGGAGTTTCTTAATTTTAGGTCTGCAATCACCTAATTTAGAAATGCCAGCACCTCAGATTCTACAATTTACATACACAATACTTTCGAAGGAGCCCTGGTGGCACAGAGGTTAAGTGCTTGGATGCTAACCCAAAAGGTCAGTGGTTCGAACCTACCTGCCGTTCCATGGGAGAAAGATCTGACGGTATGCTTCTGTAAAGACTACAGCCTTGGAAACCCTATGGGGCAGTTCTACCGTGTCTTTTAGGGCCACTATGAGTTGGAATTGACTTGACAGCAATGGGTTTATTGGTTGCCATACTTTTGAGTTGGACTTTCCGAAAATCCATTCTCCTTCCCTCGACTGACAAATTTCCAACTTGTTTAAATTAATGTTTTAGTTTTTTTATACAATAAATAGTTTATTACAGAAACTTACTACCCTGTTAGACTTTGTAACCTAATCCAGTTTCTACTAAGGTCCCGGTCTCCTTGCCACTGTGTTTGGTTTTAAGTCTTGTCAGAGACACATTGATAGCAGATCTCCTGCTTTGATTTTGAGGTTTTCTTACCTAAGAAACCAAATACATATTCCCTTTAAAGAAATCCATGACCAAAATTAATCAGCCAGTAGGCTTTTCTTTCACCCAAAGTTGCAAATCCTTTCTTTACTGTTGGAATTTCAAAATTTGAATTTCAAAACATATGGCTGGGTGGAGGGCCAGAGACCACTTTTTGACCTGATATCCCTTGACCTCAGTAAAACGGTGGGGCGGGGAACAGGGTTCCATCAATCGCGTGAAAATTAGCCAATTGTTGATCTTCTTATTCAAGCCATTTGCTTTTTCTGGAATCAAAATGGTCTACCTATTTGCATATAGAATAACTGCTCAGAATAAACCTTTTGTTCAAATTTTGTTGAGTTTTGAGTATTTTTTTTTTTAATATTTTATTGTACTTCAGTTGAAGGCTTACAGAACAAATAGTTTCTCATGAAACAGTTGTACACATGTTGTTTTATGACATTGGTTAACAACCCCACAACATATTAACCCTCTAAATTCTCAACCTTTTTTTTTTTTTTTTGGTGAAAATACACATAGCCAAAGATACACCGTTTCAAAAATTTCTGCATACACAGTTCAGTGACATTGACTACGCTCTTCGAATTGTGCTGTTATTCTCACTTAAGATGAAGGCTTACAGAACAAAATAGTTTCTCATTTAACAGTTACTACAAATGCTGCCCTATGACAATGGTTAACAATCTCACAACACATCAACAATATCCTTACTCAACCTTGGGTACCCTATCACCAGCTTCCTTGTCCCCTTCTGCCTTCTGGCCCTTGTCACTGGACTCCTGTACCTCGTTAGTCTCATTTGGTTTTACGGGGCTGTCCACTCCCAGGCTGAACAGTGAACCTCGGAGGTAACTTCACCACTGAGCTAAAAGGGTGTCTGGGGGCCATACTCTCGAGGTTTCTCCAGTCTCCTTTAGGCCAGTAAATCTGGTCTTTTTTTTGTGAGTTAGAACTATGCTCTACATCCTTCTTCAGCTCTGTCCAGAACCCTCTGTTGTGATCCTGGTCACAGCAGTCAGTGGTGGTAGCCGGGCTGAGTTTTGAGTATTTTTAAACAGCCCACTAGGTCAAATAGCAAGGTTCTGAAAGTAATGAGGCACTTAACTATAGTCACTGGAGGGATCTAAGAACTAAGCATTGTTTTAGGGGAAAAACACACAAAATTTAGTAAAGCAAAAAGAAAAGTCTTATTCAGCATACATTCAAAAGGGCAAAGGTAGGAAGCAGACAACCATCCTGCCAGAGCCATGTCTGTCTGAGTCCAAGGAAATATCACAGAACAAAAGTGGGAAAGCAGACAAGCATGCTGCTAGAGCCATGTCAGTCCAAGTCCAAAGAACATTACAAAATAGGCAAGCATGCTGAACAAGCATGCTGGCCACAGCCATGTCCAGAGACCATTACAGAGTCATCAGTATATATTAACATTGGAAATGGGCAAAACCATTGAAAGCTTCACCTTTTCACAGATTGGCTAGAAACTGTGATCCTACATTTTGAACCATCTTTCTTAACAGTCATTGGTACAGGTTTCAGTACTGACAGTCTGGAAGGTCCTCATTGGTCCAGCAAATCTTACTATTCCCTAAATGCTAATAGGAAAAGAATAGAAAGTCTTTTGTGTTCTGTTTGATTGGCCTTATGTGGAGGTTTCCCTAAAAGATATATTCCAAAGTTATCCTAGCTATTGTCTTTACACCTCAGGGCCCAGTTGATGTATCCTTGTGAGGCCTTGTGAGCCCAGCTCCTGCTGGGTCACATTCTCTTTGCTCAAGAACAGGGAATAATAATTCCAGTATTATTTCCTAAATTCAGCATTTAGTTCTCAAAGTATGATTCTTTTACCGCAGTAACGTGGATTGGAGCCATCTGCTGCAATAGCCAATTCTGAGACAGGGTGAGGTGAGCAGCAAGATGTTTATTATATATCTATATATAGGAGACAGAGGGGAACAGATTCCTCCAAAAAACCTATCTCCCCTACTGGAGATCGGCTGAAGGCTTTTATAGGGACAGGATTATGGATCTTAGAAGTTTGTGTTAGTTTCCCCTTGAGGTGGTGATGTCTTAGATGAGTTAATCTTCTACTGGTATTCTTGGCGGTTATCTGGTGACATCCTTGGGGATTATCTGGCAACATCCTGGTTTTTTCTTGTCACAAGATGGGTGCTTTGTTTGGTTTTTATCCTTAGATCATTATCACTTGTTTTCCACCCTCCAAGGAGGAACATCGGTTAATCTTAAACCTTTTGTATAGACTGAAGAAACAAGATCATGAGACTATGTGGCGGTTAGCAATGGGGAGTAAATAATAGGCCTGTGCAGCCTCTTCCAATCCCAGCACCAGCAGCATGAGCACCATCTGAGAATCTCTGCTACCAATATTTCCTCACCCTCCACCCCATAAATACGGAAATAACACTCCTCCCTTTAAAATCTTCCGTCTAAGGTTACTAAGTTATAACCGATCCTTAAGTATTGATTATTGAATCTGTAATGGTGAAAAGGAAAATTAGTAACAGACATCTTTGATTTTAAGATTTTCCTTATCCACGAAACCAAACATTAACCATAAAAAGCTTGACCGAAACTGCAGAAGCCTGTCAGAAACTGCTCTATAGTAACATAAATTTGTCTTATCCGGCTAGAAAAGGACTGTCAACAAACCATTACCTCCTAATATAAATCTAAAAAAGTCTTAACAGCTGCAGGCGGGTGGAGGGCCAAATTATTAGCAGCCAGGCCGGAAGTAACCCGATATCAGTTGATCTCATTACAGGGTTCAATCACATTAAGATTAGCCAATGGCTAGACAAAACAGCAACTGAGCTCTGACCCGAGCCTACACCTCGAGGTGGACCACCGACCAAGACGCCCGCCCCGCAAGACCGCCCACGGGGGCCTCAATGGCTAGCGGTGCGCCCGCCCACAGAGCGCTCCGCAGGCTTCGGCCACATGAACAAGCGGGACAAGCAGCGCGGTAGACCTCGCAGACTCATAGCGCCGCGGGGTACGGTGGAAGGAACCCAGAGTCTCTTAAGCCTCTCCCGAGAACGCCGCGGCCTAGCGCTGGAAGCGAGCGGTCGAGAAGCCCCTACCGTGCCCAATCGCCTGCCAATCGCAGCGTGCGACTCGGGCGCACAGCCGGGAGGAGCCAGCGTCGTACAGTCTACAATCGGTGAGGAGGCGGGGCGCCGGCGATGCCCCGCCTCGCGGCTCTGGCTAGCCAATCGTAGTCCGCGGTGCCTGTCTGGCCGGCGGCGCGGCGCGGCCTGTGCCTCGCCGTCTTCTTACAGTCTGAAGAGGTCGTGCATCCGTGTGGAAGTGGTGCCTCAGAGATGTCCGGTGGAGGCCGCTTTCCGGGCCAGAAGGTACGCTGTGGGCTGTGACGGGCGGCGCACTCTCGCCGCGCTGTTTCCAGCGAGCCTCTTGGAGCCGAGCGGGAAGTAGTGCTCCGCCCTGTGCCTTCTTCGGCGGGTCCGCGGAGCGCGCTTCGCTGGCCGCGAGCTGGCAGGGGCGGGCGTGAGGGTGGGCGCTGTGTCCAGGAGCCCCCCGGACAAGGCTGCGGCAGGTTCAGTCTACGAGGGTGGACTGGACTGGTCGCGGTGCCCAGTCCCGTGGTCGGTCTCCTGCCCAGGTGTACGGACTCAGCTCTCCACCGGCTATGGGCTCTCCGGCGCGGCCTGCTCACCCGCGCCTCCCAGGCTGGATGCACAGAGCGGGGAGAAGAGCTCAGCCGGAGACTGGAGCGAAGAGCCACTTCCTGGGAAGGCGAGGGGTCGCATTCGTAGAGGTGACAAAAGTGGCAACTGGGAATTAATGTGTGAGATAGATACTACCCTAGCTGATTTTTGCAGTCCTTTTGCCTCTTCTTTATTCCGTCGTATAACACCAAGATACTGGTAGATAATTGGAATGGCTCCGTCATTTTTTTCCAGATATGTCTGTTGCCTAAACTTTCTCTGAATCTTTTTCTTCAGTGGGAGAGGAGTCTGAAGCTAACCTCTCCATGTCATTGTATACCAGCGTCTACCACAGTGTTTAGGCAGAAGTAGGTATGCGGGAAATTAGCAAGAATTATATTTAAATGCTTGAACTTGTACTCGTGAGTACATCCTTTTTGCCATCCCATTCATTGTGTTTCTTCTGGAATGTGTCTTTAATCATTTTAAAGCTCTTTTTAAATTCCTTGCTAATAAACATACTTGTCTCATCATACTAAAACAAAACGAAACAAAAAAGTAAACACAGTGCTTCCTTTCTTGACTTGTCTTACTTTTACCCAAAAGCTTCCAAAAAAAATAGTGTACATATACTGATTCCACTTCCTTATCACTACCACGTTTCCTTGCTTCTCAGTTGAACTGTCTGCCACACTGTCGATTTTTTTATAACTGATTGTAGGGAGTAGAAACTCAAGTCAAACTTATTTATCGATTGTAAGTTACATCCTGATTTCAGAAATATTAAAATGTGAAAAAGAAAGATATAGTAATGACTAACTCTTTGAAACTGCTAAATTGAATTTAAGTTATTTGGTCACTACAACATTTGACCCATTTACCTCCAGCTTTTATTTCCTTTGGGACATCTCTGATATTGCTATTCTAATTTTCTGTCTTGCAAGTAGTCATTACTTCTCTTTACTGTCTTTCTCCCATGTTGTAATTTTTGACCTAGTCCTTTTTCTTACATGTTTGCTCTGGGCAGCTGATATCATTGATATCAACCCTGTGGGGCAGTTCTGCTCTGTCCTTTAGGGTTGCTATGAGTTGGAATCGGCTTGATGGCAGCGGGTTTGGTTTTTTGGTTTAGGTCACTGCTGTAGATGACTTTGAGATCTGTATTTCATTCTCGACCTTCCTCCTGAGTTCAGTTAAACTCAGTATATCAAAGTCATCATACTCTCACTCTCAGTTCTAACAGTTCCTTTTGACTTAAAAAGGTTAGCGTTTTTTGAGTGATATTTACTGTCCTCTTTATTCTATCAGTTTTCAAGACCCTATCAGTTTCTCTTTTTTAATAGTTGTATTAGTTATATAACAAATTGCCTCAAAACTGAAACAGCTTAAAACAGACATTTATTATATAACAGTTTCTGAGAGTCAGGAATTTAGTAATGGCTTACTTGGGTGGTTCTAGCTCAGTGTCTCCCATAAAGTTGCAATTAAATAAAAGGTAGACGGGTTAGAGGATCCATGTCCAAGCTCAGCCACATGATTGTTGTCAAGTTTCAGTTCCTTTCCATGTTTCATAGGGCAGCTCACAACATGGCAGCTGGCTTCCACAAGTATGAAAGAGGTAGTGACCAAGATGGAGGTTCCAATGTTTTTTATAACCTAATCTCAAAAGTGACATACACTCACTTCTGCCCTTTTCTGTTGGTCACATAGAAAAACCTGGTACAGTGTAGGAGGGGATTAGATAGGCTATGAATGCCAGGAGTGGGAATCATAGGTGGATGACCGTCTTGGAGGCTAGCTACCATGATAGTACGGCGTCAAAAAGTTCTTTTTTATTTCTATCACCCTAGGCTTGAATTTCTTCTTCAGTTCTTTCAGCTTGAGAAATGCTGAGCATGTTTTTCCCCTTTGGTTTTCTAACTCCAGGTCTTTGGACCTTTCATTATAATACTTTATAACATGCAGGAAGCATCAAAAGAAGATGGATGGAATACACAGTTACTGTACCAAAAAGAATTGGTCCATCTTCACCCATTTCAGGGGGTAGCATATGATCAAGAACCGATTGTATTGAAGGAAGAAGTCCAAGCTGCACTGAAAACACAAGGCTCTGGAAATTAACAATACCTATTGAGATGTTTCAACAAATGGATGATTGCTGGAAGTGCTCAGTCATCTGTGCCATGAAATTTGGAAGACAGCTGCCTGGCGAACTGACTGGAAGAGATCCATATTTGTGCCCATTCCAAAGAAGTGTGATTGGCAGAATGCAGAAATTATCGAACAATACCATTAATATCACACACAAGTAAAATTTTGCTGAAGATCATTCAAAACCGGTTGCAACACTACATTGACAGGGAACTGCCAGAAATTCAGGCTGGATTCAGAAGAGGACATGGAACAAGGAATATCATTGCTGATATCAGATGGATCTTGGCTGCAAGCAGAGAATACCAGAAAGATGTTTACCCGTGTGTTACTGACTATGCAAAGGCATTCAACTGTGTGGATCATAACAAATTATGGATAACATTGTGTCAAATGGGAATTCCAGAAAACTTAACTGTGCTCATGCAGAACCTGTACATAGACCAAGAGGCAGTCATTTGAACAGAACAAGGGGATACTGTGTGGTTTAAAATCAGGAAAGGTTTATGTCAGGGTTGTATCTTTTCAGCATACGTATTCAATATGTATGCTGAACAAATAATCCGAGAAGCTGGACTGTATGAAGAAGAACACAGCATCAGGATTAGAGGAAGACTTATTAACAACCTGCATTATGCAGATGACACAACCTTGCTTGCTGAAAGTGAAGAGGACTTGAAACACTTACTGATGAAGATCAAAGACGACAGCCTTCAGTACGGATTACACCTCAACATAAAGAAAAAAATCCTCACAACTGGACCAGTAAACAACATCATGATAAATGGAGAAAAGATTGAAGTTGTCAAGGATTTCGTTTTACTTGGATCCACAATCAACGCCCATGGAAGCTGCAGTCAAAAATCAAACAACGTATTGCGTTGGGCAAATCTGCTGCAAAAGACCTCTTTAAAGTGTTCAAAAGCAAAGATGTCGCTTTGAGGGCTAAGGTGTGCCTGACCCAAGCCATGGTATTTTCAGTTGCCTCATGCATGCAGAAGCTGGACAGCAAACAAGGAATACTGAAGAATAATTGATGCCTTTGAATTATGGTGTTGGCGAAGAATATGGAATATACCGTGGATTGCCAGAAGAACTAACAAATCTCTCTTGGAAGAAGTATAGCCTGAATGCGCCTTAGAAGCCAGGATGGTGAGGCTTCATTTCATGTACTTTGGACGTGTTATCAGGAGGGATTGGTCTCTAGAGAAGGACATCATGCTTGGTAACGTAGAGGGTCAGTGAAAAAGAGGAAAACCCTCAATGAGATGGATTGACACAGTGGCTGCAACAATGGGCTCAAATATAGCAATGATTGTGAGGATGGCGCAGGATCGGGCAGTGTTTTGTTCTGTTGTACTTAGGGTAGCTGTGAGTTGGAAGGAGTTCGACGGCACCTAAGAACAACAACAGTCACCCTAGGTCAGACTCGAAGTACTTCATGCTTGGAGTGTTTAATGTGTAATACTAACTAGCATTCTAACTTTTGAGGTAACTTTCCCTTCAGCACAACTTCAATTATATTGCTATTCTTCTGCTTAAAAGCCCCTTTACTTCTTATTGACTACGTAACCAATTATATGGGATTTGCTCTGGTGGTGCAGATGGTTAAGTGCTTGGCTGCTAACCAGAAGGTTGGCAGTTTGAACCCATCTGGCCACTCTGGGAGAAAGATCTGGCGATCTGCTTCCGTGAAGATTACAGATAAGAAAACCCTATAGGGCAGTTCTGTTGTCACATGGGACCACTATTGACTCGATGGCACCCCATGTAACAACAACACTGTACTAAGTGCTTTATATGTATTAACTCAATTCTTTTAACAATTTTATGAGGTAGATACTATGATTAGTTTTATTTTATGGATGAGAAATTGATGCACAGCTGAGAGGTTAAATAATTTGCTCAAGTAAGTGAGGAAGTGAGCCCAGGTGGTCTGCTCCAGATTTTGCTTATGTTTAGGCTCTTATAGCCTGTTATTTAAAGTTTCCATACTATGGCCGTGCTGTAGTCTGTAATTTTACAATTTTGTCCGTTATTTCTCCTCCAGGTAAACGCCACTGTTTAACTTTTTTTTTTTTTTTTTCCGGTTCTTGGTGTTTGCTCATGTTAATCTTGGTGCAGTATAATTCCCTTCCTCCCATTTCTGCTTATTGAAACCCTACTTATCTTTCAGATTCCACTGTCTACCTAGTCATCCTAGTTATTAATGAACTCTCTTCTATATTCTTGTGGGACTTTGTTTACATCACTCTTATAATTTTATCTTTTGTATTAGGTTTATTTAGGAGCCCTGGTTGTGCAGTGGTTAAAGCGCTTGACTACTAACCAAAAAGTCAGCAGTTTGAACCCACCAGCAGCTCTGAGGGAGCAAGATGTGACTGCTTTCGTAAAGATTTACAGCTTTGAAAACCTGTGGCGCAGTATGAGTTGGAACTGACTCGATGGCAGTGTTTTTTTTTGTATCTGTGTCTTTATTCCATTATTGTGTAGACATTGTAAGATTAGGGACTTGTCTTCCTCACCCTGTCCCCCCG